ATTTTGGAAGCTCTGGGGACCAAGCGGTAAACTGTGGTGGTAGCCGTCGTGGTGGCAGTGGGAGCGGGAGGGGTAGCTTAAGCTGCAGCGATTGGCGGTGGGGTAGTGCTGATGGTGGTCGTCGTCGTCGTAGTAATAGTAGTAGTAGTAGTAGTAGTAGTAGTAGTAGTAGTAGTAGTAGTAGTAGTAGTTGTTGTTGTTGCTGGAGGAATAGGAGGAGTAGGAGTATAGTAGGTAAACAATACACCCCGAATCCGTGTTCTAAGTGCTATGGCTCCTAAATGCTTTAGGTGCTATACGAGCATCTCGGAGTTCGTCTACGACAAGGACTGTGTTTGGGAGTGGCGTCTTCGAAGCTCACAAAGAACCTGCCAGCGTTTTAGGGTTAGGCTGATGCTGAGATCCTGGACGCACAGATGAATCCCGTTGATATGAGGATATTCAAAGCAGGGCTTTGGCTTGAAACTGATTGAAATTTAAAGACAGCCACCCTGCACCCCCACAAAAAAAGCAACACCCCCAACCCGAAAGCCATGCGGCTTGGGGTTGCCTACGGGCTTTTTTTGAAGCTTCCCATCAAGGGACACTAGGGAACCCTATAGAATAAAAAACCCTATGAACTTACAGAATGCATGCCTAACCTTTTGAATACCCAATAGCCTTAAAGCGTGCCGACAAGGAAGCCCTAGGCAAAGGGTCCTGCGTATACGGGGACTATGTGGAGTCTTTACCCAAACCATAACAACTCCTGGTTCCATTATAGAAACCCTGCTTTCTAGAAGGTAGTAACTTAGTTACTTCTCACCCCGTGAAAGAGGAGCTAAAACCCCAAACCCTTAGCCCTAAAAGCCCTAAACCTAAACTTTAAGCCCTAAAACCCTAAACCCTTTGCCCTAAAAACCCTAAACTTGCGACCCTAAAACCCTACGTAAACCCTCAGCCCTAAAACCCTAAAAGCCCTAAACCCTAAAACCCCAAACACTAAGTTGAACTGGAGCTCCTCAGGATTACTTTGCCGAAGACATGCGCTTCGGAGCTTCGCTCTGGGCGCTTCGGACGGTTTTTAGGGGTTTAAGGTTTTTGGGTTTAGGATATTTAGGTGTTTAGAGTTTAAGGCTGTAGAGGTTTAGGGTTTTGTGTTTAGGGTCTTAGAGTTTTAGGGTTTAGAGTTTTCGGGGTTCAGGGTTTAGGGCTGGGAAGCCGAAGCACATTGCAATTCACAGTTCTTGGTTACTACAACCCCGCCGGCACAGCCAATATTGTTAGTTTTGCATGGGTACCAAGTGCAGTCATTACAGAAGGTTGAACCCAGTAGCGCAGGATAGGTTGCAGTGGCAGTCGTGTTTATCACAGCCCCGTTTTGCACCAGTGGCTCGAAACTGCCTTGGTTAATGGGCAAAGACGGTTTGCCTGGCACTAGGAAAAAAAACAAGTGCAGTCAATTTTGGGCTTAGGGCCGCCTGCGGAGGGTTTTGGGCTTTTAGGGTTTAGGGTACTGGACTATGTTTTGACTAAGGTTGTAGGGATGAGGGCTGGAGCACGTAGGACAATATTGCTTAAGTTTTGAGAGGGTTTAGGGTTGAATATAATGGCCTAATAAGTACCTATACTCTTTTGTGGGAGTTCCTTATGAGAACTATGGTATAATGGACCCCAAAACCCTGTTCTATTTTAAGGCCCCCTGGTTCTCCCAGAGACTCCAAAACCCATCAAGTAAGCAACAGACCTATACTACGGATCCCTCCACAATTCCGGTAGGTTGCTGGAACAGGAGGCTTTGGAGTGTTTGGGCTTGAAGGATTGAAACTTCCTTAGGGGTACATAGAAATGATTTTTAATTTCGAGGTTATTATAATCCCTAAGAAACAGCTAAAATTATAATTTCTGCTAGGGTTCGAGGTTCAGTATAGCTTCGCGTATGAGTTTGTAGCAGGTTTTGGTTTTAACATTTCGGGTCTCGGTCGCCCCACCGAAAATCAACAGATTCAAGACATAATATCCGAGGCTCTAAACCCTAAGCTCCTATACCCCAAACCCAACAGAAACCCTAAATCCTAAATTCCTACACCCTAAACCCAACACTGAAAGGACTACTATGTGGAGTATGCCAAATGCTTGGATCTGCCGCAAGTTCTCGTCGTCTGCTTCGAGGACCTCAACTCCAATCTGGAAGGCCCTTTTAAGGAACCCCACAGGAACCCTTAAGGGATCTGTAGGGGTTCCTTTAAGGGTTCCTTTCAGGGATCTATACTTTGAGGGTCATGGGACTTAGTAAGTAAGGTTATAAATGAGTTAATTATACTTATAACTACTTATAACCCCAACTGAGGTACCTATAACCTTACTTACTACAGTCCCAGGATCCTCCAAGTAGGGTTCCTTTAAAGGGAAGAGGGCTTCAGGATGTCATGGGGTTAGGGGTTTAGGGTTTTTGAGTTTAGGGTTTAGGGTTTAGGGGTTTAGGGGTTTAGGGTTTAGGGGTTTAAGGGTTTAGGGTTTGGGGTTTTGGGTTTTAGGGTTCACGGCTCCAAGGCTTCAATTCTTAAGGGTGCTGTAACCCCTAAGGCTTTAAGGACTCATATTTTAAGGATTTGGGGCCTAAAGACCATAGTATATAAGGGTTTTGGGCCATTTTGAGCCTCAGGGTAAAGGTTACTATAGTCGCCTTAGGAACCTTGGGCCTTTATTCCTACTATTGGGGCTTTAGGGTTTAGGGCTCATAGGGCTTGTAGGGCTTGTAGTAGAATGTTGGAGCCTGATTAAGAAACCTTGGACCCTTATAGGAATCTACTATTTTGGGGTCCTAGGCCCAGGGTTTCTTAATTTGGTTCCTACATTAGCTAGTGGCGACATACGGCTCCGGATTCAGGCGTTCGTGTAGAATTTCGGCGCAAAGAGGCTAGGTTTAGGCTACAGGATTTCGGAGTGTGAAGTTCATGGTAAAAGGATCATTAAGGCTCTAAACGTCTAGGACATGGGATTTGTTTCTGCGGTCGCGGGAGGTCTGCACGGCGACGCCAACAGTGTTGTGTTGCTAGGTGTTGGCCTTCGCCGATACCCGAAGAAAGCAGTAATATCACAAGTTCATGACTCAGAATGTCTAGTAGCCAGTCAGTGCGGGTACGGTTTTCCCGCAGCGAGGGTTTACCACAACAGCAGATGGGTGGTTGTCAAAATTATAGTCCCGTTTTGGGACCCTAAATAATAGGTGCCGTATTATAATAGGGCCCCAACAAGGGACCCTAATGTTGACTACCACCCAGATGGGGAACTTCTTCTGATTCTTCAAACCCTTAGCCTTCAGCCTTTACTCGAGTTGTGTATCTGCCGCTTTCTCTGTAAATCCCAGACCTTCCAAAATCCCTTAATTAAGGAATATACCTTAATTCATATTAGGGATCCTATTGTAATTTAAGGTATATTCCTTAGTTAAAGGATTTCGGAAGGTCTGGGATCTCCATTGCTTTTGATTTTGAAGCATAGCCAGCTCAAGCGGCAAGTCCTGTTGATACGTTGGTCCAAGTATCACAAACCCTTGGCCCTTTCGCTCCCACGTGCCTTAGAAGCCGAAGCAACCCAAACCAAATGGGTCCGCAAGTATGCCTAAAGCCGATTCCCATTGTTGAATGACAGCAACTGACAGCGTGAGAAGTCCTGGAACAAAGCTCTTCAGTTCTTGAGTTAGAAGCTCTAACCTGCACACACACACACACAAACACACAGACACACACACACACACACACACCTGTCCTCTGTCAAACTCTAGACAACCCTATAGGACTCTTGCAAACAACAGCTCGAAGAGATCGGGGCTTCGATGTCGGTCGACTGAGGTGAGCTGCCGCGCTTGGTAGAGTTTTTGGGGCTGCCCCCCTTGGATGATGATGTGTCGAAGCTGGAAGCTGGATAATTACCCAGAGAGCCCAATACCCCTTCATTAAGGAATATAGCTTAAAGCATAATATGAAGCCCCTTATAATTTAAGCCAATTAAGGGGTATTGGGCTTTCTGGGTAAGGGTTTAGGTTTAGGGTCTGGTGGCTCAGGGTTTAAAGTGTAGGGTGGCTCGGGGGTTGAGGCTTGGGGGAGGGCTTGGGGCTTGGACAGCAGGTTTCAAGTTTCTTCCAAGGGTTCCTTCCTGAAATTTGAATCCCAAACCCTCGAAACAAGCCCTAAACCTTAAAACCCTAAACCCTAAGCCCTAAACCTTAAACTTGAGGGGTTCAGTTTTTGGGCTTATGGGAATCTACTTGGAGGCCCTTTTGACTTAGTAAGTTTACTTAGTATCCCCTAGAAACCCCATTATAATCCCCATAACCCACCTTACTAACCCTACTTACTAAGTCAAAAGGGCCTCCAAGTAGGCCAGTAGGATCCTCCTTCTACCCTTAGGGTTTCCGGTTTCCGGTTTCGGGTTTAGGCCTTTGGAGTTTGGGGTTCAGTTTTCGGTGTAGGGATTTTGGGGCCTCAGAGCTTTGGGTTTCGGATTTAGGCGGTTTAGCGTTTAGCAGGGTTTAGGGTTTAGGGTTTAGGGGTTTAGGGTTTAGGGTTTAGGGTTTAGGGTTTAGGGTTTGGGGTTTAGCATGAGTGTTTCTAGGATGCCCAGTAGTACCCTTATTCCCTTTTTGTAGTCCTAGGGTTCCTTTTAAAGTGACCCAATACCAAAAAGAGAGGCCGCCTTTTTTTTCTTATAGGTTACTGGGTATCCTAGGTTTGGATCTAGGGTTTCCTTCACAAAAACTGACTGAGAATCATAGGAAAATGACCCTAAGGCCCGATCGAAACTCCCTAGTCCTAGTCTAAAACCCTAAACTACTACTTGCTTAAGAAACCCCCCAAAAAATAAAAAATAATAATCCCTATATTACCCCCATAAGGAATATATTTTTTATTTTTTGGGGGTTCTTAAGCAAATAGTAGTAAACCCTGAACGCTTCAAATCGGCTCGCTGGCTCAAGCTGCGGCACCTGAGTTTTAGTTCGTGCCTTGAAGCCAACGGTCATGGGCTGCTGCTGTTGTTGTGGCTCCAGTGCTCCACGGGTGCTGCCCGTCACCCGGCAGGAATAATTACCCTACATGGAAGAAGCCTCACCCTAGCATCCCTAAACCCTAAACACTCACCCCCCTAAGCCCCCAACGGCGTAATCAGTGCTTGCAGCCAGCTTCAAGCACATTCTCCTTACCCAAGAGACTGGGTTGTTGGAGCCCTTGAGTTTCACATGATGAACACTACAGGCAGTATGACGGACGACACTGCCCAGACCTTCCAGAATCCCTTAATCAAGGAATATACCTCAACTCATACTAGGGATCCTATCAAAGTTTAAGGTATACTCCTTAATTAAGGGATTTTGGAAGGTCTGGGTGCATAACTTAACGGAAGACAGACAGGCAGAGAGACAAGAGACAGAGCGACACGGAGACAGACAGACAGCAGGCACAGTCAGATCCTCCAAATTTAGAGATGCTTCGGTCCAGCGATGCGTGAATCCCTTGAGAAACCTGCTAGGGCTTTACCTTAACCCGGAATAACCTACATTTTTAAGGACCTATATAAGGAAATCATAATAAGGAACCCCAAAAAAGTAGGCTATTCAGGGCTGAGGTAGGGTTTAGGGATCCTGGCCGTGCATCCCAGGAAGAGAAATCGGAGCAAAGCGAGGCAGATCTGTTTGCAGAGTTGTTGAAGGAGGAGCTTGGCCCAGGCATGGTCCTACGAGATTTTGCCCAAATTTTACCGGTTTGGGGTTTAGGGTTAGTATGTGTAACCGTTACAAACTAGTAGGTTCAGGTATGGTTGATTTCAATGCCGTTACCCTAGGGTGGAGGGGCTGGCATTTAGGATTGGGAGTTTTGGCGGCACCTAGGCGCTCAACTGCAGCTTCACATGCAGTTGACTTTGATGAGTTTGGCCCTTATAGATCCGATTATAGGAACCCATATAGATCCCGTTTACAGGAACCCTAAACCCTAAGGCTCACCTTACTTACTACCTAAACGCTCAGCGACAGAGATTTCAGTGGATTTCGGTGTGGGCTTGGCTTCAGAGTTTGCACAAAGTCTTTGGGGATGCAGCCTTAGAGTTCAGGGAGTTCAGAGTTTGAGGGACCTACTTGGAGGGTCGGGGGACTTAGTAAGTAGGTAGTAAGTAGACTTATAAGTACCCTAAAAGGGACCCTAATTGGGGTTATGGTACTTATAAGTCCCTAAAATAACCAGTTACTAAGTCCCCCGACCCTCCAAGTACAGTCCAGCTGACCTGAACCTATAGTTACTATAGTTTCTCTGCCCTGCACCCGAGTCTTAACCCATACCCGGCTGCAGGCAACAAGCACGGATGGCAAATAAAGAGTGACTGGCCAAAGAGCTACGACAAGAAGCAGTTCATGATGCGCGTGTCCTTGCGAGATCACCATGAAACAGGACCGGGTTTGGGAGTGTGGGGTATCGGTTTTAGGACATTTAGAATGTCAGGGGCATCTCCATGTAGGTGCGGCCATTTCAGCAGTAGGAATTTTGGGGATGTGGGGGACATCTCCTTCATAGGTGTGCAGCCGGCCGATTACTTGGAGGCCCTTTTGACTTAGTAAGTCTACTTAGTATCCCCTAGATACCCCATTATAATCCCCATAACCCACCTTACTAACCCTACTTACTAAGTCAAAAGGGCCTCCAAGTATGGTGTATATGACAAGGTTCAAAGCTTTGCATGTCTCCAAGCACGAGCTCTCGAACATGTACTTGTATACAGCTTGCGGTACAAGTTTCGCATGCTGGTCATCCAAAACACCCAGTTTGAGTAAACTTTGGATAGATAGACAGACGGATGGGTTCATGTTGTAGCAAGCACACTCTTTCATTCTCGAAGGAATTAGCAAAGGACTCTTTTCCGGCTTGCCTCAAAGAAGCGCAGGGAGTACACCCAAGATGCCCTGAGAGGCAATCCGAACAAGCTCCTCCGCGGCGATGGCAAGTACCCTGCTTCAGCGAATGAGGGCTCTGGGTTGCGGATTTTGTGTTACACCTGTATTATAGACGGGTTTCAATAATGACCAACATTATTTTGGGGGGTTTAAATATAGTATAATGGGCCCCATCGCCCTATTCCTTAGGCGTACTTAGAAATAATTCATTTTTTTGGTTGGTATAACCCCTAAGAAACAGCTAAAAAAATAATTTCTGCTAGGGTTCTAAGTTCAGTATAGATTCTAACTATTAATCCCTGTGAAGGAACCCTTTAAGGATGCCTTTAAAGGAGCCCTCTTCTAACTATTAAGGCCCCTAAATGACCGAGCTTTTGGGACTTTGGTTAGCCTGAGACTCGAGATCTTCTCAACCCCTGTTGAAGTTCAGGGTTTAGGGTTTACGGGTTTTGGGTTTTGTTTTTGGGCGGTTTTGGTTTGGGCTTGAAGGTTCAACTCAAAAACCCCCACTTGCAATTGTCACCTGTTCCGCTGTTGTTCTAAACCCTCAGCCGTAAACGATGTGCATCAAGCGTTCGAAAAGTCAGCCCTGGGTTTAGGGTTGTTTAGGGTGTAGCGCCTAGGGTTTGGGATTGCGGGTTTAGGAGTGAGGGAGTTAATCTACTATTGCTTGACTCCGGGATACCGGGTTGACTTACCGAAGGTCGCTGCCTAAGTCCTTGAGTCCGAACTAGACCCTAAGCCCTGTTTCCTCAGCCCTAAACCTAAACCCTACCTTAACCCTGAAGGACCTACCTTTTTAAGGACTTGTATAAGCAAATCGTAATAAGGAGCCCTAAAAAGGTAGGTTATTCAGGATTAGGGTACCTCTAACCCGAAGGCCTAAACCCAGAGAGCCAGCGACAGGTACAAGGGCGTGACGCCGGAGGATTTCTTAGGCTTCCTTCTGTGCCTCGGATGATGGCCCTTGCGGGCCGGGTTAGGGTTTAGTGTTTAGGGGTTTAGGGTTTAGGCTTTAGGGGTTAAGGGTTTAGGGTTTAGGGGGTTAGGGTTTAGGGTTTAGGGTACTTGCAGCAAGGTTACAGGTACGTTAATTGGGGTTATAGACAATTGAGTATATGTATAGTTACCATATTGGTAACCCTACTTAGTAAGTCCCATGATCCTCAAAATGGGGCTAGGAGCGGCCTCTGAGTGTGAGGTTTCGGGGGTTAGGGTTTCGGATTCTCTTCTGGGTCTTTTGGCGGCGTTCTCGTCGGGGTCGGAATAGCTAAAACTAGTATCCCCGTATCCCCTTGTAGTCTGATGGTCCATATACATATACTTAGACTAGTTCAGATATACTCCACCCCCCCCAAAGCCCTGTTCGAAATGTCAAGCCCCTCCACCGGGCGGTCATTTTTGTTGCAGTCGCGCAGTGCTGGAACATGAGCTTATGATTCTTGGTGCTGGAATTCCTATTCCCTTAGGGCTCATATAGGGTTCCTTTAAAGGGGATCTAGAAGGGGTCCTTCAAAGGGATCTGTAGGGTTTAGGGCTCCAAGGACTCATATATTGAGGCTTTTGTGCCCAAAGACCATGCTACATAAGGCTTTTGTTTTTTGATCCCCAGGGTTCTATTTCTGGCAGTTTAAGCATGTGTTGGGTACGGCCCCCACTCAGTAAAAGTTCAATAAGATTAATAATAAAGATATAGCAGGACCTTAATAGTAGAGACTCTTACTGTATGGGGGCCGTACCTAAAGCATGTGGTTCACAGGTTCCTTTATTCAACGTCCCTTCGAGGACACGAGGCCTGCGATTTCGGGCTGAAGCCTAACACCCTGAGCCTCCGAACGCAAAAGACGACCACTGCAGGAAGAACACCTCAAGCCCGAAACCCCTACAGTACTATAGGGACATTGTTAAAGAACAGTTCAGGGATTCAGGGCTTTTCAAGAGAGACAAAGCTTGAAATTGACTTCATAAAAAGCAATGAATCCTGAAGAGCCGTGAATCTTCAATCCAGAGAAGCCTGCATCAGGAAGCCGGATTTGCCCGGGTTGAAGGAGTGGGCCACATGGCAGCAGCAGGGTGGGTTTAGGATTTAGAGTAAAAGCCAGAAAGTTGGAATATGATTATCCTAAACCCTTTATGGTAAATTATAGGGTGTCCTACCCTGAAACCATATTCCAACTTTCCGGAGTTCCCTTTAGGGTTTGGGGTTTAGGGCTAAGTTTCCGAACGTTACCGTTTTGCTCTTTGGAGTTTAGGGCCCCCTCAATAAAACCAATAAGGAGGACAAAATTACCCTAAACCAAAGGGGGGCTACTCAGGAACCGAGAGGGTGTTGGGTGGGATCGAACAGAGGTCTGGTTTCGAAAGCAGGCCTGTGCTAGCGGAAATTAGCGCTTGGGAAGGCACTTGTGGCACTGTTCGTGTGTGCCTGTTAACGAGAACCCAAAAACCTGGACCCTAAGCCTGAATCGGCTTGGGGTCGGAAAGCGGCGCGCCGACCAAAAAGGTCGATGTCGAGACCCTGCCGGATGGCTTCATCAAGTACTGCCGCGTGAAGGCCATGGGGCGAATCTAGGGGGCTTTATACCTAAAGCAAGGTTTAGAAGGTTCCGTATTATGCTTATAGTTATAGTATATTGGGCCCCCAAACCTTATTCTACTTATAAAGGCCCCTATATTAGTTTGCACAGTCTACAAGTTAGAGGCTTTCCATGCTTTCAGGACCCCATTATGTTACAGGCACCAGAACAACAAGGCCGGCAGGCTGTCTACAGAGAACGGCAAGCCCTCCTCTGACCTTGAAGCCTAAGCTGTAAGCTCTAAACGCCTCAACTCTAAACAGAGGCAACCTCTTCCCGAAGCCATGAAAACAATCAAGCCCTAGCCTAAATTCTTGCAAGGGGGACATGATCAACCCCCAACTTCAAACTTCTGAAAAATATAAGTGCAGAGCGAGCAGTCTACCATACTTCAGTTTCTCCACCATCCTGAACCCTCAAACCCTACAGCGCCGCAAGTCTACTTAAAAGACTCGGCTCATACATCGTAAGCCCTAAACCCTATACTCTAAGCCTTGAGCTTCAGCCTCTTCAGCCCTATATGTTGCAAGATGCTGCCAAGTCGTTGTCAGGCTCCCTGCTTGGCAGCCCGCGACCATTGTGACCTGACCGAGGGTTCGGGATGATGCGGCCTCTACGGGATGCAGAGTTCAATCCCTAAGGGTTGAGAGGGAAGGGATGTGGGTGTACGGGGCTTCAGACTTGTTTTATAAAGCATTAATCGGTTCCATGACTTGTACTGGCCTGGGTTTTCTCATCCTACCTTGCATACAGTTAAAGATGAACCGGCTTGGGCCAGGGATCCTCCCATACCAAAATCCTCAATCGAGACGCGCCTAAATTCGCGAAGCTCTACTTCGCTGCGACTTCGAAAAGCTCAGGACTAAAGTGAGCCTGTGGTGTAGCCTGGAGTTAAGAGTTGACTGTCACCGGGTTACAATTTACAACAATATTGCCTATTCCCTAGACTGCCCTGAACTACAGGTTTACTCTATTATGTCACGCAACCGATTCTAGTGCTCAAGGAACCTATGGTTTTAGTATATCATGTCCGAGAACCGACTGAGAATGATCAAGGCAGCAGCCGTTCCACGGCAGTCATGGCCTTACCCCCTCACTAAGTGCAGTCCATGCCTTGTTGAAGGGTGGGGTTACAGGCTGTTCAGCACTTTGCCTGAGCGGGAGGGCCTCCACCAAACAACCCCGCCGACGCATCAGTCTCTCTTGACGTCGCACAGGGTGTACTACAGAGCGCAGAATATTGTGCAATACTCAATGCTATGCTTAGGTTCCCTTAATCTTACTATAGTACACAAACTCTATTCGAAGATTAAGGCCCCTACATCACTGTGGGATCCTTCAGGCAGAGGAGTCCTACTAAACTGTTTGTGGTTTCAGAACCCTGTCCTGCAGTCTATGCACCAGGCCTCCAGCCTAAGCCCTACTCGGAGGATCATGGGACTTAGAAAGTCAGGTTACAAGTACCTTAATTGGGTTATAAGTAATAGCGGTGGTGGCCGCAACAGCAGTAGAAGTAGCAGTCGCAGTCGCACTGGCAGTCGCACTGCAGTAGTATTGCTGGTGCTTGTATTGGTGCTGGTGGAGATGGTGGTGGTCGTGGTGGTCGTTGCGGCCGCGGTAGCACCTGAACCCTAAAGCAAAGACCCTAGGCCCTAAACTCCAAATGGATCCTAACCCTCAGGGTCCATGTACTCATATAGCATATATATATATATATATATATACATGGGCCTCAGTGTAGTCCCTATGTAGGTACTTTGAGGCTCATGTATCTTTATACGAGTACATGGACCGATTGAGCCGAGGCTGGAAGTACACCATCGACCGGCGAGAGGCAAGATGTTCTGGAACCTTCCCCTAAGGCTCCATGTGCCTATAGTTGCCGTTTAAGTACCTATATAGGCATCCGTTTAAGGCCTAAGTATATAATAAATAAATAAATAAACATAAATAAATAAATAAATATATATATATATATATAGATAGATAGATAGATAGATAGATACGGGTACATGGAGCCTCAGGGTTCTTAGGATTTAGGCTTTTGGGCTTGGAGTAGGACCCTCCGAGAAGAACAAGGCAATTAACCAAACGACTCGATAAAGCTTTGCACTCAAGAAATAACCCAGTTTCAGTAGGTCCCGCCCTCCTGAAGATTACGGTCCCGGTTAAGGGTATACAGCTTACTCTAGGGTTGGGGGTGTTGGGTGCCTGTCCCCGTTCCCCGAGGTAAACGAGGCTTTGCTAGATCCCGATGCTACAGGCCACTAAAACAGGTGGGTCTCATCGTCCTTGTATGCTTATTCTTCATCAGGGGCGGCCCTTGCAAGGACGAATCGATGTAGAGGGACTTGTCTATTGTCCTACCAATGTCACTAAAACTTCACCCCCTAAACCCTAAACCTAGACCCTAAACCCTTAAACCCTAAACCCTAAACCCCTTAACCCTTAAACCCCTAAACCCTTAAACCCCTAGACCCTAAACCCCTAAACCCTAAACCCCTAGTACAAAGCCCGAGAAGGATGGTAGCATCTTCGTCTGCATTCGGACGACGACGCATCCAAAGTGCCCGGAGAAGCCGGGCGCCTCTCGGATCCGCAGTTGTTTTTTTTCAATTTTAGGGTATTGGGTTTAGGGGTTTAGGGGTTTAGGGTTCAGGGATGTTTCGTAATGCAAAACCCAAGAGAATATTTGAAACACTGTTTTTATTATGGTTCTAAGGGGGTATAGTTTCTTCGGGTCAAACAATTATCAGGGCTCCTTAAAGAGTCCTGTAAGGTTTACCAGTTTACCATCATTTGGGGTTGGGGGCTTGTCCCCGGATTCTAGAGGGAAGGGTTCAGGGCTTAGGTTTCTTTAGCTCCACGAGTTGTATGGACACTTGAGAATTTAGGGTATTTCAGCGTGGGGCGTCTGAAGCCTCTTAAGGTTTAGGATGTTCATGCCTACAGAGGAGTTGTATGGACATGTTGCGCAAGTGTGTAAACTGCATGGGTGCACGAACCTTCAAGATTACGGCCTGTTGACAACTACTGGTTTGACATTTCCCGGTCTCAGAAGTGTTCGTAGCTTGAGTGTAGGTCATGTGGTATGGATTTGGGGTCTGCATGGTTAAATAAGCTCGCTAGTCGCACCCGTATGCACCTTGCATTTTGGTGTTTGCCTGATTATATCCGAATAGCAGTAGACCAAGAGGCTTTTTTGCGTCACCTTAGCATCGTGTTAAGGCGAACTTAGGGATTTAGATCTTTGGCCCATGCTTTTCAAAGGCTTTTTAACCTGTAGGCAATACTCTTAGGTTTAAGCTGGCCTCCTAACGGCGTTGGTCGAATTGGTTTTGAATTCACTGTAGGGTCTCCAAATTTCGAGGGCCATAAATCCTGGCTCCTACATATACCCTTCATATTCTGAGTTCCTATGTAGTACTTCACAACGAAGCCTCTCAAGCCTCGGGTGTCTTTTGCCTTTGGCTTTACTTGGTTTCAGATTCCTGCCTTGGTTTCTGCTCCTTTGGTAGACGGTTTTTTCCCAAGACTAGTTGTGCTTGTTTGCTCTTTGAAAGTAGTACAAGCCTGAGACCCCTTGAGGTCATCCGCGCATACTACTACAACAGCTCCGTCTTCAAGATGAGTGACACTGAGGAGGGCGTGATGGAAATGACGGAGTTCATCTTCCAGGAACCGTGGTTAAGGTTGGTTAAACCCTTGAATAGTTTCCTTGTAGAGGTATACTGCAATATGCCGAAAACCCCATTGTAATCGGTAAGGCTCCAATCTTAGGACCTATAAACCCCAAACCCAATACAAACAAGAGGTGAGGGTTTCCGGGGTTAAGAGCTGCTCTTCTAAATCGAGGCCCTGTCGCTGAAGGGATTCAGCATCGAGGTGTTTTGGGTGAGTTCCGAACGCCGTGCACCTCACAAACCGCTCAGAGTAGGTACTATTCATTGACTATGCATGCAAATCCTGCACCCTAGCCCTCACAGATTCTAGACCCCACATAGGCCAGCTTGTGGAGGTCTGAATACTTAGTATGGTCTAGGTGGATGAGAACATGACAGCATCTTAGCGACTTAGTGTTCAGGGTAAAGCTCACTGTCTCTACTTGAAGGCCCTTTTGACTTAGTAAGTCTACTTAGTATCCCCTAGAAACCCTATTATAATCCTCATAACCCACCTTACTAACCCTACTTACTAAGTCGAAAGGGCCTCCAAGTACCCCAAGCAGTGGCGCATGAGATCCCGACAGTGTTTGCAGCGCCGGGTGGTGCGACCTAGAGAGCCGCTTGCTGCGTTTCATATCATACTTGGAGGCCCTTTTGACTTATGTAGTAAGTAGGGTTAGTAAGGTGGGTTATGGGGATTATCATGGGGTTTCTAGGGGATGCTAAGTAGACTTACTAAGTCAACAGGGCCTCCAAGTAGAGGAGGATCGTCCGCAGCCACCAAATCTCACAACACTGCTACGGCTTTTGGAGGAAGCATTGTGCCAAAACCACAAGCGCAGCTTTGCATTGTGGCTGCATGGACGCTCTGGCCAAGGTAGAGGTATCAGGAGAGTCGGATGATTTGGAAACCCGCTTAAGAAATCCTGGTCCTATAACTCCATAAAAAGGATTAAAGCCCTGATAAAGACCCAGAGTTTTCTAATCTAGGTTCCTGTATTAATACCCAACGTCTACGCCGCGACACTCTTGTCCGGAGATGCATGGGAAGACACTTCGACTGGCTGAAATCGGCCCAGTTGCTGCATTTCCTAAAGATGGTTTACGGTAAAAGCCAGAAAGTTGGAATATGATTATCCGAACCCTTCTATGGTAAATTATAGGGTATCCTACCATGAAACCATATTCCAACTTTCTGGAGTTCCCTGTAATCGTTCAGTAAGGATTTGGTATTAGGTGGCTTATTGGTTTAGGTGTATTCACACCGAGACCCTGTTCTTACTTTCCGGGCGGGCTTAGCCCTAAAGCCGATCACGACCTGCAAGCCGAAAGAGCCCCTCAACAAGCCCTGAAACCTTAGGGGTACTTAGAAATATGTTTTATAATTTTTGGTTATTATAATCCCTAAGAAACAGCAAAAATTGCAATTTTTGCTAGGGCTCTAAGTTCAGTATAGAAACCCTTAAACTCTAAACCATTTAACCCCCGTCCTTGGAGGGTCGGGGGACTTAGTAACTGGTTATTTTAGGGACTTATAAGTGCTATAACCCCAATTAGGTCCCTTTTGGGGTACTTTTAAGTCTACTTACTACCTGCTTACTAAGTCCCCCGACCCTCCAAGTAAAGTTTAATCGCTTAGGAGGTCGAAGCGCCAAGGCTTAGATTCCGAATCCACGGGCCCAAAGACTTCCGGTCTACGACTTGTTGTGGAGTTTTGGTTTAGGGCTCCGTACTGTTTGGGGTTTCCGAGTTCTTGGAGTTGGGAGTGTAGGGTAGTCTTGCGGCTTTTGGGGTTTCGGGTTTTAGGTTTGATTGATTGTTCAGGGTCTTGAGATGGGTTTAGGGTTCTAAGGGCTGCGCGCCTGCACCCGACATCACAACCGACTACTTTGCCGGGTTTGGGGCTACAGGCGTGACTTTGCACACAACTCGCTTAAACCCTACAGGACTGTTGAAGTTAAGGACCGACCTTAATTACCTTCGGGACAGGTGCCTAATAGCACCTAACCTACTTCGAGGATCATGGGACTTAGTAAGTAGGGTTACCCTAAGGGTCCAAGTGCCCAAATAGTAGGGTTTTAAGGTCCAAAAACCATTCAGAGTATGGATTTTGGGACCTAAAACCGTACTATTTGGGTACTTGGACCCTCTGGGTTACACATAATGTAACAAAATGATAACTTACCTATAACTATAATATCTATGGCACTTAAAACCTGATTTGCTAAGTCCCATGGTCCTCCAAGTAGCGCCCCGAAGGATCTCGGAGGGGGCTTACCTCCGTCGCTGATGAACGCCGCCCTCCCGAAGGGCACTCTAGCGGCTAGGTCGAAAATGGGGGGTTTCCAAAAATAGGGGACCCTACTATAGTGCCCTAAATATCCTTAATCTAAGGACCCCAAAATCAGGTACCCTGAAGTATAACCAAACTCCCAAATATGACCTATCTGCTCCAGTTTGGCTTAAGAGTTAGGCTTAGTTCAGGGTTTAGGGTTGTGTTGGGCCCTATACGGGATTTGTTCGGTTTTGTTCTACGTTTGGTGTAAGGGTGTTGGGCTTTGTGTTCAGGCTAGAGTATAATGTGAATGCACCCTCTGTTGTACATGTACAGGAAGCCATGGCCATGACATGCATGTGTTAACTGTATATATTTCCCGCTGCCGTTAGGGCCCTTGAGTCATATTCAGATAGCTTCGCAGTCGGCGAAAAGATCCACCAGTTTTCTCAAACTGGCAGCGGAGCCAGGTACCTCCGGGACCTGTATCTGCGCGGATCGCAGTAGCCTGTAGCCTGTGCTCAATACCTACCATTGCATACCTCCCTCTCAATTCTTTCCCTTCGAACTTTCGCCAAGCATGTCCGTGGCCGGTCTTCGGTACAGTCGCTCCACCTACTCGAGTACTCCCCTTGAGACTCGTAGCGGGAGCTACATATATGATGGCACCCCCAGTACGTTCCACGACTGGGAGTTTAGGACCTCTATGAGGCTTAAACTGTACGAAGATGCCATCAGGAGCAAATCTAAGAAGACCGTGGAGCCAGAAGAAGAAGGCAGTGACGATGAGAGCCGCGTCGTGGAGCAGAGTCCGACTGCGGGAGCCACTGCCCCTGTACCTCCCGAGGACAGGCCCGACATAGATGCAGCCGAGGCATCTGCAGCAGCCTCTGATGGTGGATCTCGCAGGAGACCATCTGCACCGAAGTCACCTGACTCGGTCACAGAACTGCCGGTTGCCGACGAAATGTCATCCTATGCGATTAAAGCACGAACCGAAATGGTGCATAAAGTGCTGGAAGGACTTCGGGACGAAGCCTTCGAACTCGCCCGGGATATCGGTATCGAATCCCTGACTGCCCCTGGTGGCCTCCGGGATTTCATCACCAAGTTGAGGAATGTCGTCTTCCCCCGTGCGACCGAAGAAGCTCGAGAGCTCTTCCGTGCGGGCCAAAAGCAAGGTGTCCTCGCACGCCAAGGTGGCGAGTCGATGCTGTCGTACGTCAGCCGACGACGACGCTGGTGGAAACTGCTCAAAACTCTCGACGCCAGCATCGAGCTTTCCGAGCCGATGCGCGTAGAATTGCTATTGGAGCTTTCCGGTTTGACTCGGCAAGAGTGCCTTGTCATTAAGGCATGCACCACTAGCAACCGGAGCTTTGAAGCAGTTGCTGCTACCCTAGTGGAGCACTACAGCGGCGTTCACCTAAAGGAAGGTCGTTCCTTAGGTGGCGGTACCTTTCAGGACCGCCGACCGCATCACCATCCTGGTGCCCGCCGCGGGAACCCTAAGGGCTACGGTAAGAATAGGTCTAAGGGTTTTAACCGTCGCGCCTACGTCGCTGAAGACGAGACGCAGTACTACGACGACGCGCCGCCGGACGACGGCGACGATGCCGAAGAGTACGACGACACCTCGTACCCCGCCTTTGGGGACGAGCCTGAGTACGATCCTCACTCCTACCCCGCCGGGGAGGAGGAAGAGGACCCGGGCTACGAGGAATTCGAGCTCGAGGAAGAAGAGGCAACTGCCCTTAACTGCCTCGAGGAGCTTGATCCCGAGGATGCAGACAGCGGCCATGTAATCCAATTGCAGCTTGCCGCGAACGCCGCATTCGGAAAAGCGAAGGGGCGTAAGGGCAAGGGCCGCAAAGGAAAAGGGAAAGGTAAGGTAGTGCGATCACACCTTACGCTCGACGAGCGTCGCGAGAAAATGAAAAACCTGAAGGCACGGTCGAAATGCCTCAGGTGTGGAGCTATTGGTCACTGGGCAGGTGACCCCGAGTGCAAATTCCCTACCTCTAAAGGAGGGAAAGGGAAACCCCGGGCCCACATAGCGATTGTGGAGCCGCGACAGGACCCCGACGGGGGCCTGTACGTTCCCTCAGGGAACGATATGGACCCTAGTGGCCATATGGTGCGGGATCTAGGCGAACCCAGATCCAAGGCTGCCCCCTCACAACCATCTAGCTCAATGCAGATGGAGGGTGCCGACCGAAGATTTAATCTCGGTCAACACAAGGGCCAGACTTACGAGGAGGTATCCCGTAAGACTGAGTTCGTGCGCTGGGCCCTCGTCCAGCCGAGCCCTGCCGCGCACCTTAAGGATTTCCTCACCTGGTTTAATAGATATTATGTCATTCAGCAGGGTGTAGGAGGTCAATACTATCGCGAAACTCGTGCCTCGATAGGTATCCCTGAGGGAACCTATAACCCTCGCCCGAGGGGAAAGGGCGCGAAGAAAAAGACTCCACCGAATCCGCCCTTGGCGGAGAAGTGTAGCTCGTGCACGGAATTCTCCTACCAAGGGAGTTCCGCGAATTACGTCCGCAAGACCTGCAGGGACTGCGGCCATGTATCCCAAGAAAAACGGGAACATGTATATACCGTAAACCCCTCTGTATGCTCACACGAAGCAACAGACCATCGGGGTAGTTCGAGGATCACGTCCCGAACCTTCTGTAGAATGTGTGGCACTATCGTTGATGAAGTGCCGCAGGAGTTTCACCGAGAACGGAAAGCCGTCTCGGAACGCATCTTGGAGGCGACGGACCTCGCGCTTCCCCTGGTTCAAGCGGTTACCGCTGACGACGCGACCGCTGACCTCGACCCTGAGGCAGTGCTGCAGATCATGGGTTTGTACCAAGATCGCATCAACCAGGCCATTGCGTTGGAGGAACGGATTCACCCAACAGGGCTTCACTTGTGGCTTAAGGAAGCAATCACCATGATAGTCGGGTCTAGTCCCATAAGTCCCTCCTGGGAGTTCGCCCCGACAGCAATGGTGGTCCGAGGGCGCAGCCCCGGGCGCAACAAAGGAAAGGGGAAGGCTAAGCAGCCTGTTCCAGCCGTTCCTGCTTCAGAGCCAGATCCAGCTCCAGAGCCTGAGCCAGCCTCAAATACTCCGGAGCTGTACAACATCTCGGATCCCCTGGGGACCGATTCCGTTGTGCGCAGCCAGGACCCGGATCTCGATCGCGATTATCGAGAAGCTATTCTAATAGAAAGCTTCAGGGCCGATGACGATCTGTACGACCCGTTCCCGGGTGGCTCGTCAGACGACGGATCGCCAGGATCCTACAATGTTGCTGAGCTGGACGATTATATCGCCAGGCAAGCTCAAGAGGATCTTGACGCAGCCTTTGAGCAGGCGCGCCAGCAGATTCAGAATGATGCCGAATCCGACAGTGTGACGCCTCCTGCCTCAGCGTCGGCGGCTCAGAACCGTCTGCAAGTGCGACACGTTCCCGGAAGGGAGATCATGCAGCTGGACTTCCAAGCACGCCAGCGGCAGGGAACCGAACCGGTCCCTTGGTGGGAGGATCCTACAGAGCGAGACCTGGACCTCCAGAATCTCCCACGGCATGATGCCTGGAGACGCAGACGGGAGCAGATCCTGGCAGAGGGTTTCGCCAGGAGAAGAGAACTCGACGCACAGAGGCGCGAGGGAGTACAGAGAGGCCTGCGCTAAGGCAGGACCTGAGTACATCCGCGCCAAGTGGAAGGCGGAAGCCTCCTCGCCCCCACAGGGGAGGCATCCTCGTCGTCGAGCCAAAACTAAAATATCCCTAAGACCCCTAATCTAGTCGAGCCGACCCCTAAGGAAAACCCTAAGGGTGGTTTCGTAGATAGGTCGGTTGTATGGGAGGCAGACGCAGCACAAGCCTATGTGCAAGCTGAAGAGGAGCCCCGTGATCCTTACGTCACGAGGGCCAGTGCCTCCGCCTCTCGACAGGACCTGCCCGACAGTGGCAACTCAGCTTCGACCGCGGCGCCGGCGAGGACCATCGGGCAGGGCAAGGGAGCAGGGATAGAACCGAAACCTAGGTGGCTTAAGCGGGGTAAAGGTAGAGGGATCTCACCCTCAGAGCCAAGTCAACCTGCACCGCCCAAGGCCCTCTCTAAGGCGAAGGCTAAGGGGAAGGGCGATGGAAAACCTAAGGTTTTTCCTAGGAATATTGCAGGTGCAGGATCAGCTTCTGGTAGCGATCTAGTCCGAATTGACAACCTCCCCCTAATAGACATGTGGGACCCGTTAGAGGCCCACGTATGGGGTGCCCTCGACGAAGGTTGCAATTCCACCTGCCATAGTGCATCCTGGGGAGCACTAGCCGAGAAGAGACTTAAGGCGCTAGGCCTAAGTTTCCCCTGGGTTGATTCTAGGAAAAAGTCGTTTGCGGGTTTAGGTGCAACATCCAACACACTTGGAAAACGTCGTTTGCCGTTCAGCATAGTCAAGGGAGACACAACCATTGGGGGTGTACTAGAATCTCACGAAGTAGACACCTCTGCCCGAAACCCCTTGCTGCTGAGCCTGTTTGCCCAAAGCACCTTAGGGCTTATCAAGGACATGAAAACATGTACCTGCATGATCCGCAACCAAGATGGCTCATTGTCACGGGTACCTCTTGGTAGATGCCAGGAAACAGGACTACTTCTACTATGCTTAAGTACCTTTGAAGAGGACTTACCAGCCTGTGTTAGGGCACTTAGGACCCCTGAATGTAGGTCCATAGTCAGAGCTAGGCCTGCAGTGAGGGCCCTGGTTGCAGAAGATTCGGAAGCATCCCTGGAGATTGGTACCCCTAGGGGACCAATCGAGGGGTTGCTTGAGGAAGGTACCCGTAAAGGACCTTCTCCAACAGCCATGGTCCTTACCTCTCCAGTACCTGATACTGAAGGACTGGTTAATGGGTGTGCGGTTGGCCCTGAATCCTTCCATTTTGACAAGGCGTACGACCACTTCGGCGACGTCGTTATCTTGACTGGTGGAGCAAGATATCAATTTGATGCTCGAGGCAAGACCCGAGTAAGGATTCACAAC